TGTACAGAATAACTTTTTCTTTAAAAATAATCTCTTGAATGTGAAGAGAAAATGGGTATGAAAATAACAAGGTCTAGAGAAGGATCATGTGATCAAGATGGCTTTGTAGAGAGCAATCTGAGATGTTAAACAGCTCGAAGGATTCCAGTAGGTCTTGCTTTCTCAGGGCGAACAAGACCACAGTGGATGTCTGACACGTGGATATTCTGAGACCCTGTAGAGAGTATGACTTTCCCAATGTGTATGTAAGTGTCTAAGAGAAATCTTATGTATTTGGCAAGGAATGGAGTCACACTAGCATCTGATAAAATGAAGAATAAGAATGAATGACAAATACACAAAAATAAATATTCTGTGACTGTCATGTGTGTCTTGAATTTTCCATTAAAAATTGGTTATCCTTGTCTGCAAATATAAGGATCCATATTTATCAAATAATGAGAAATTGCATTTGTCTAGGCATGTGACAGCCTTGGGGGCAAGTATGCCAGTCACCACACACAGAAGAAGCTTCTTTTGCAGCAGAGAATATTACAGAGTTCCACAACTGGTCACACACAGAAAGTGTCTGTGAAGTGTCCAACCCTAAGTGGCACATCTACAGTGGAACCTCTATACCTAAGACTCATGGACCATAGTGGAACAAGGAGTAGATAGAATACTAACGCATCTCTCAACTCACCAGCACATCTCTCAACTCACCAATGGAGCTCCCTCGTGCAGCAGAGGGCAATGAACTCAGGGTTCAGGGACCATTGTGGAAGAGGGGGCAGAAAGATGTAAGAGCCTGGGAGGAGGTGCAGGACCATGGAAATAGTATTTACAGGCACCTGGGACCTTGCTCATATGAACTTACAGCAATGCTAACAACATGCACACGATCCATGCGAAATCAAGCAGACAAAACTTCAGCATTGAACTGTGGAAAAGGGCAGTAGGCCCTGATCTTAATCTAAGAACTATAAGGCAGATCATTCCTACCGGGTGAGGAAGAGCTGATTGTTTTAAAAATATTTTTATATTTATTTTATGTGTATGTGTGTGTTGCCTGCATGTGTGTAAGTGCACCTGTGTCATGTAATGCCCACAGAAGTCAGAAGAGGGCATCAGATCCCTTGGGACTAGAGTTGTGGATGGTTGTGGATGCTGGGATTTGAACCCAGGTCCTCTGCAAGAGCAGCCAGTGCTCTTAACTGCTGAGCCATCTCTCCATGATCTTCTCTAAGGGATGACTCTAGATGGGCTGACTAGACCCCAGTGGATGAACTTGATACAAATTAGAGTCACCTGGGAAGAGGGAACCACAGTTGAGGGATTTTCTCCATGGTACTGTCCTGTAGCCCTGCCTGAGAGCCATTTTCTTAATTATTGGTTGATATATGAGGGCCCAGCACACTGTGGGCAGTGCCATCCCTGTGTAGGTGGAGTGGACTGTTTAAGAAAGGTAACTGAGCAAACCAGGGGGAGCAAGCCAGGAGGAAGTATTCCTCCATGGTCTCTGCTTCAGTTCCTGCCTCCAAGGAATTTCCTTTCTTGACTTAGTGATAGATTGTAATATGGTAATGTGAGATGCAATAAACCCTTTCCTATCTGGAGTTGGTTGTGCTAAGTATAACAGCAAGAAAAATGAAACTAAACAAAAGACGGTACCAGGATAGTGAGGTATCACGGAGACAGACCTGGTCATGGGATTTTTGGAAGGGTTGTGCAAGTGTTTGGAACTTTGAGCTGACCAAGCCATTGAGTACCCAGAGGTTAATGTGCAATTCTCAGAGTGCTTGAAATAAGAATGAGAGAAATTCAGACCATGGCGGTCTGGTTTGTGAAGTGTCACAGGAAAGGAAAGACTCTATTGAGGCTGTTTGCTGTGGTGGATTAAGAATCTATCAACGTGGGGCTAGAGAGATAGCTAAGGGGTTAAAAGCACTGGATGCTGTTGTACAGGACATGGGTTTGGTTCCCAGCAAGAATTAACATACATGCATGCAATGTCCACAGAGATCAGCAGAGGGCATCAGAGCCCCTGGAACGGGAGGGGAACACTGCAGCTAACTCAAGTCCTTAATTCCGGTTCCTGGGGCTCTGCTGCCCTGTGCTGATCTCTGTCAGCATTGCATGCATGCCCTAATTCTCAGACTATAAAATGACTCAGTCAGTTCTGAGTTCTTGAGTTCTGAACCCTTGCATATATGTAAGCAAAATGCTCATACACATAAATGAAAACAAACAAAAAATAAAGACAAAAGAATAAATAATATAATTTATGAAAGTAAAAGGTTTGCTTTTCTTGGACCACGATGCTGGTTAGTAGGGACTAAATAATCAGTTGTGATTAATAAGAGATAGGCATCACTGAGGTGAGATCCTCTGGGAAGTAGTCCCTCAGGGTCAGCACACAGAAGCTATTGCCCAGTCCGGGGTGAAGGCTGAATCTCAACTTGGCTTGGCCTATCACATGTAAGTGTCCCCGGTGTGGTACTGGTTTTGGCCACAGGAAGGCTGAAGAATGGAAGGGGTTATGAGGAAAAGCTCCTCCACAGTGGTCAGGAGAGGCTACCGGGGAAATGGCAGGCCGGGCACGGTGAAGTACACGAGGACTGAAGGGCTCCTGAAGAAAAGTGGGGGCTCGGCACCAGGAGAGGCCAGGGGAAGCCACCGGAGATGGTGCGGCCTCAGCTGCAGTTGAGAACCGGCACATTCGAGACACGAGCATCTTAAGATCACCGGGGACAGCAGCAGCTGTGGAGTGGAGCTGACCTGAGCCTAGGCGCCAAGCCGAGTGTCCTCAGATAGCAGATCCAGAGACGTGTAGCTGTCCGTCTGACTGTCTGCAACCTAGACAGTCATGACCCAAACGCAGCTGTCAGGTAGGGAGCTATGCTGCTGGAATTTGCTTTGCTTTGGTGGGCAGGCTTGTTTTCTTTGGAAATAAGAAAGCACGTAACTTAGTTTTCATCACATATGTTGGGACTTTGAAAGAGAACTTGAACTTTAGTTTTTAATTTTTATTTTTATTTGCATGTTTACTTTAAATGACTCAGGAAACATGTTACCCAAGTTCTTTCGAGGTGTGTGAGAAACATGATCACAGGCCTCAGCCTTCTTTCAGCCTAGAACTTCCTTCCATCAGTTCAAGTGGCAAGAACTCCTCACCTAGGAATTTTTCTGGTATTACGTTCTTCCTGCTGACTTGTGTGACTGCCCAGGTCCCATGAGAGATGGTGCTAGACCATGGCTCCAGTGACCCCTAATTCTCAGACTTTATAAAATGACTCAGTCAGTTCTGAGCTCCTGAGAAACCTCATACCCCTCACCATGATGACTATGTACTGGCTGCTTTCAATGTTATGGTTCCCTCAAGTAGCACCCCTGTGTGGTCCAAACTGCCACACTGGTGTCTTTTGCAACTCCAAGCACTGAAGTTTTCTTCATTTATTCTATTAACTTGCCAGTGTGTGAAGCCTTTCCAACTAACACGGCCTTAACAGAGGTCCAGATCAGTGGTAGAACATGTGCTTAGGAATGCAGGAATCTTTAATGAATAAAACAAAAATTGGTTTTCTGCAGTGTCATGCACATATGTCTTTTCTTTGGCTGATTGTAATCACTTTCCCTCCTTGTAATGACTACAAAGGCTTTCTCTGTTTCCAACTGTTTGTAGTAAATTACTGACCCTCAGAGAGATCAGAGAAATGAGGGCTTGCCTGTGTGCCAGAATTGAAGGTGTTCTGGTATGGACACTTATTCCTAAAATTCTCAAAGGGGAGTACTTAGTGGGCATAAGCTAAATTATAATCCTTTTAGTAAAAGTATTTTATTATTTGTATTATATGTGTATAATTTATATGCCTGCATGCACCTATGTGTGCCCGTGTTGTGCAATGTCCGTGGAGGTCAGAAGAGGGCATTGGACCCCCAACTGGAGTTACAAATGGCTGTTAGTCACTATGTGGGTGCTTGGAATTGAACCTAGATCCTCTGAAAGAGCAGCCAGTGTGGTTAACCACTGAGACATTTCTCCAGCCCCAAAGCTTTTAATTTTTGTTCCTTCCTTGGTTGCTAAACAATGAGAGGTCCCTGTTTTCCTCAGCAAAAAAACCCTCTGAAGACTGTTCACTTGCCATTCAGTATTTTTAGGTTAGAATTTCATAATGGCCTGTATGAAATTTAATGAATGTA